TTTTTTTTGGGGGGGGGTTCGGGTTTTAGAGTTTGGGGCTACTAAGGCTTCAGCACAAGTTTTCGGGTTTTGCTTGTCCTGTTTTACGGCTAAGGTTAACCCTAAACCAGAAACCCTAAGGTTGAAGATTTTTGGGCTTGGAGCTTCGGGTTCTAGGGTTAGGGTTCGCGGGAGCTGAGGACCCGAAATAGACCCGAAATAAGCGGCCGCTTGCTACAAGGATCCCGAGATCAGGTACCCCTGGTTTTAAGAACCCCTCTGGCCAACCCCAAACCCCAAACCCCCAAAGCCCTGGCAAACCCTAAACCCTAAACCCTTAGAGCCCTGAACTGTTAAGAACCCCTCTGGCCAACCCTATTCCCCAAACCCCTAAAGCCCTGAACTGTTAAGAACTCCTCTGGCCAACCCTCCTTTGCTTTGAGTTCATGGGTAGTTATAAGTAGGGTTATAAGTAGGGTAACTATAATTATAACGCATATTAGGGGACTTATAACCCCACTTATAACTACCCATGAACCTCCAAGTGCTCTCTTCGGCCCAGCAACGTCATTGGCCCTCCCCAGCCGCCCTGCGCGGGAGCTGGCTGTCGGGCACATCCGGGACAAAGCCATCCTCGACATGGTGGGGTTGAGGGGTCTATACTTGGAGGTTCATGGGTAGTCATAAGTGGGGTTAGAAGTCCCCTAATATGGGTTATAATTATAGTTAGCCTACTTCTAACCCTACTTATAAACTACCCATGAACCTCCAAGTAGGACTTAGGGGGTTTAGGGCTCATAGGGGCCCCTATAGGGTTTCCGGCTTAGACTCTGGAGTCTCGGCCTTGTCAGAGTTGTGGGTGAACAGTCCGTCGGGTTTTAGGGCCCCCCTCCCAAAAAAGAACTTGGAGGTTCATGGGTAGTTATAAGTAGGGTTATAAGTAGGGTAACTATAATTATAACCCATATTAGGGGACTTATACCCACTTATAACTACCCATGAACCTCCAAGAGCACAACGTAAAATGAGAACAAGGCCAAGCCGCGTACTCCTTCCCTCGAGGCGGACACCAGCCTCGACCGTGGAACTGTGACTTCTTCCCCTCCGGCCACTCACGAAAGCGACCAAAGTCCCGGTCGTGTGTGTAGGAAACCTGGGGACTGTGGTGTTCTGGTAGATCTACACGTCTAAGTAACAAGTAGGTGCATGTTATTGAGATGTATGTGTGGACATGCACATGTAACTGCACTTGTAGATGTATATGGTTATGTATGTGTGCATGCTTGTATGTGTGCATGCATGCTTTTACTGCGGAGGCGCACATAAACAAGTCTGTACGTGGTGCATTGTCCAGGGTGCTCTGCAGGACAAAGGTTGAACCTGGCGGTCTGTCTGTTTCATGCATCTTGTCAAGAATCAGGCTCTGAATTCAGACTGCCATGCGACAGTCTTAAGATTCATATACGGGCATAAATAATTAGCAATACTATGTTGGGGGGGGGGGNNTCCTTACTATAAGTATAGTATAAGCGGCCCCAAAACCCTGTTCTCATTATTAAGGACCCTAAACCCTAAACCCTTATAGAAGCCCCTATAGAACCCTTTAAGGAACCCTTTAAAGGAACCCCCAAAACCCTAGCCTAACTATTAAGGCCCCTGGGCCCCTATATTATTTGTGACGAAGGCTTTCTGGCACCTAAGTTTCTCGTCGGCTTCTGGGATCGAAGAACCCATTACTTCTCCGGTTCCCAGAGCGAAGCTCGCCTTTGAGATCTAGGATTCGAGTGCCCCTAACCCATTAACGGCTACTTACGCCAATGACTCTTATACTATAGTTATCGAATAGAAGGCATGTATGGGGATACTAGTACTAACAGTCAGGCCGCTACAAGTCAGTATATTAAACCCTGCAGCAGTACTCATGGAGACGAGCTGCACAGCGACGGTGTGGAGGACCGGCCTGTGTGCATGCCAAGCTGTGTCGACAAGGCGTGGTCTAGAACCCCCAAACCTAAAACGACAAACCTTCTTTGTGATTCTGGGCTTTCGGGTTTCGGGTCTTGGAGAAGCCAGGGTCAGAGTGTCAGATTCAGAGGATATACGGCGCCAATAAGAGGGCTTCGTCATAGGTCGCTTGGGATTGGGTTTCCGTAAACCGGAACCCTAGATCCTAAACCCCTGCATTGCAAGCAAAGCTCAGTGTCTTCGGCTTCGGAGCCATGGAAACATGTCTGACTTCGGGCGGGCGCCCGTTCTGTTCGGTTAAGGCCTATAGGGTTTGTTGGGTCTGTACTTTGCGTTGGCTTAGGCAGAAAGCAATAGCTGAGGACGGCGAAGACGGCGACGACAGCGAGGAGGAAGACGAGGATGGCTGCCGTTTAGGGTTGAGGGTGACGGTTGGTAAGCCTATCAATTCCAACAGCTACTATGAACCGGAGACAGCACAGACCGAGCCAAGGCCATAATGAAATCAACCCAGCACAAGGTGAGAAGGGGCTTCAAAGCTTCGGCTGCAATGGAACTCGGGGAGTCCGAGCTGTAGCCTAAACCCTAAACCCTAAACCCCTAAACCCTAAACCCCTAAACCCCTAAACTGGCCCTAAACCCTCAACCCTAGCGCCTCCTTCTTGTGGTTTTTTTCGCTCTCCTCCGGCAGGGGACAAGCTTCCGGGCGCAGGGATGTTGAGGGTTCAGGTCCCAGTCCGGGGCTGCTTAGGGGGTTTAATATAGGGGCCTACAGAATTACCAACATTATTTTCGGGGTTCCTTAGTCTAAAAATAGTATATCGGGCCCCAAAACCCTATTCCAATTCTTAAGGCCGCTATCTTATTTTGGGTTTAGGGTGAGAGATTCCGGCCCCCACGACGTCTGCACGAACCCTCTAACATCGAACGCGACTCAGGGTCCTGCCTCCTTGGTTTTTGGAGCAATCCCCAAACAATCAGCTGGGCTTTCCTCTTCTCTTCAATCAGTCTTAGCAAAGAGTTCGAGATTCGTCGTGTGCGGGTGGTTGACACACCGCCGCGCAAAGAAATAGATGGCTGAAGAAGGGCCGCGTAACTTCTGATGTAGGGGCCTTAAGAATTAGAATAGGGTTTTGGGGTATATTATACTATTATACCATATTTATATTAAGGAACCCCCAAAATAGTATAGGTGATTGTTTAGGCTTCTATATTACCAATATTTTCCGGGTTTGGGTGGGTGGCGCCTGTTCTACTTCTCCTTGGAAAGATTGCTTGTCGCGAGACTAGAGCTGTCGATTCAAGAACCACAAGTCCACATGATGATAATAATAATATCTAACCAGCATCAAGGGCTATGTAATCATCAGAGCTGCATTTTCTCACTTGGGAACAGATTACGTGTCTGGTCTGTGCGATTGAAATTTACCTCCACCTGCCTGAACTCTCAAAAATCCCGAGTAGGGTCCCTCCGTGTTTGGGTCCCCAATATAGTACGGCACCGTTACAAAAAGGACCCTGACCGCCCCCGCGGAGTACCCCTTATACATCCTGCTACGGAACCACTATAGATACCCTTATAGGTCCGTGTAAGGAACTTAGAGAACTACCCATGTGGCTTCATCTTCTCGGAATTTGGTCGGTTCGGGCTCTGTGGTCGAGACGATTCCCAAAAGGGGTTTAGGGTTTAGGGATGTTGGGTTTACGGATTTAGGGCTTAGGGCCCGGAAGAGAAAGCAATTGCAACACCGACCTCGGACATTTCTCGGGATTTGAGTCAAGGTATTATTCGGTTTAGGGTTTATAGGGTTTAGGGTTCAAAGCAAGCAAGGCGCATCCAAGGAAAGCTCACGGAACACTCCAAGCTATGGTGGGCGGCGGCAGCAAGGAAGTCTCGACAGCGGACCCTGATGAAAGAAACTAGTACAGTATGGTTACCGTTCATGGTTGATTCAAAACTAAACTCCCAACCTTAAACCCTAAACCCTGAACCCTGTAGACCCTAACCCAACCCTCGACCCCAGACTTCAAAGCCTAAAATCCTAATATAGAAGCCAAAATAATTAGCAATACTATTACCTAGGCCCCTTCTTATACCTATACTATAAAGGAGCCCGAAGCCCTATCCCTACACGAAACCTCGAAGCCCTTTACAAGAGACGCCTTCGAGCTTCGGTAGCTCGGGGAGTAGGACCAGATCACGAGATTCCTTGGGCTCGGGGTTTTGTGCTTTTTTGCTGTTGAGGTTTTGGGTTCCAGGCTCTTGGGTTTGGGGGCTAAATTCCTAAACCCTAAACGGTGGTTCGGTTTTGATATTTTGGGTTTCAGGGTCTTGGATTTAGGGGGTTTGGACCCTAAACCCTAAACCCTAAACCGTGGGCAACTGGGCTCCTCCGGGGAGATCCTCTGTCCAGGGTTTAAGGTTGGCGGTTTCAGGTTTCAGGTGTGTTCTTTTTGGTTTAGGGCTTAGGGTTATTATTCTTATTATCACTATTATTATCGTTTTAGGGCTTAGGGTTATTATTCTTATTATCATTCTTATTATTGTTTTAGGGTTTAGGGTTTTTCTGGGCTTTTAGGGCTCGGGGCTTCTGCGTTTAGGATCTCAGGGCTCCCATAAACTCTGGGGGCTTTGGGAAGGATAGGCGGGCATCCTAAACACTAAACCCTAAACCCTAAACCCGGCATGGCTCGGGGTTCAAGGAGTTGACTTCGGATGCGTTTGGACTTTCTGGTCTGCCTTTGGGCTTAGGCTAGGGTTTAGGGTTTTGGGGTTCAGGGTTTAGGGGTATTGGGTTTAGGGTTGCAAGGGTTTAGGGTTCTGTAGAGGCCTCGAAAGTTAGAACAATGTTTTAGGGTATATTGTAGTATAATTCGAACACGGCGCCGGAAGGCGCTAGGGAACAACGCTGGATGTTATTCAAGCTCCCATACTCCCTAAACCCTATAAACTCTAAACCCTAAACCCTACTGTTGATGATATAAATCCTGCATTACCTTATGGGCCCTAAACTACAGGAATTATGGTGTATTCCTTCTTATGGGTAATGCAAGATTTATATCATCAACCCTAACCCCCAGAGCGGCAGTTGACAGAACCTCAAAAAGACAAGGGGTCCAGGGGTCCGACACTTTGGTTGAGGAACGTAGAACGATTGAGGGGTAAGGGTTTGGCAGGGTTTAGGGGTTTTGGGCTTCTGGTTAAGGGCTTGAGGGTTTATAGGGTTGGTTTTGATGCAAATCACCATCATGGCGGAAGTATGTTACTTTTACTGCACATCCCTAGTATGGTGACATAAACTTTAGCCAGGCTATGGCAGTTAGGTTTGGCCAAGCCCCAAACACTAACACTCTAAACCCTCACAACCCTAAACTCCCTAAACCAAAAGCCACTCCATCCAAAGCGCATGCGCTCCCCACTGGAGATGTCCTGCCAAGTGTTAGCCACGCAGTTTAGGGCTCAAGGTTTAGGGTCTGGGGTATCTCGCTCTCTCTCCGAATTCTGAAACCACTCACTTTTGGTGGAGGGGCATTGCTTGCCAAGGAACAAAGTGGCTTGGGGATGCACGTTGTAGTCGTTATAGTATAGCGACATAACGATCAACAATTATTCAAATTCAGATTCAGACCTCCATATTGGCCATGCGTATGCACCCCAAACCTCGCGGGACATTTGGATTGATTTGCACTCAAGTCTCTACAACTATTCCAAAGCGTTGAGGGCAGATGGGCATCATGTATCTATCGAATCAAAATCCCATTGTTGCACGTGTGTATGCATATCTATATTTGTATCTGTATCTACATCTACTTGGAGGTTCATGGGGTAGTTATAAGTGGGGTTATAAGTCCCCTAATATGGGTTATAACTATAGTTACCCTACTTATAACCCTACTCATAACTACCCATGAACCTCCAAGTACAACGTATCTTGTTCATGGTTGGGGTAGTATTACAAATTTGAATCTATATTCCTTATTGGGTTTAAGTACTCTTAAAAATGTAAAATGTTACCTAACTATGACAAAGGTATTTATTCCTTCTGGATGGAAGCTTCAAGGGCTTAGCCTTAGCGGCCCACTCGATGCCACTTACTCGAGCACGCACTACTTGGAGGTTCATGGGTAGTTATAAGTGGGGTTATAAGTCCCCTGATAAGGGTTATAATTTTAGTTACCCTACTTATAACCCTACTTATAACTAGCCATGAACCTCCAAGTATACTGTGCCTACAGAGACACTTGGTGAAACCTACGTACAGACTTTTGCATACCTCGCTGGCTATGCCTACATCCCGGCCTCAGATCCTGCCGGCACACACCGTCAAATCCCGAAACACTGCTGCCTTTAAGCCGTGCATTCTGTGATTGAAGCACACATCCCACACGCTAAACCCCTTCGCACCTGAACTCGCATAGGCCGCAACACCCATGAATCCCAAAAAGTCTTATCGTCCTACATTTCTCAGTCTTGAAAACACCTGGACCCCCAAAGAAATCCACGGAGCAGCGAAGGAAAATGTCCTCGGCTCCATGGCGATGCCGTCCCCGGTGCAGCACTGCATGGCCCAGCCTGAAGACGAAAACAACGACGATAAGGAGGATGAACATGTCCAGGACTACGGCAAGGGCGAGAAGCAGCAGCAGCAGCAGCAGCAGCAGCGGCTGATGCATGCGCGCTGTGTTCCCACATCCAATCCCTGACCTTCAATCCAACCCTGTCGCATGTTGCTGCCGGAGCACTGGTGCTGATACGCTGTGCGGAACTGTCGATGGTCAGGCTCACCATTGATGCCGCAGAACACCTACCAACCGCCCAAATCACCAGCAGCCACTATGAGCGCCTCCGTCATGGACCCTGAACTGCCATGAGAAATCGCAAACTTCGAATGCCATGACTCATGACCACCGAACATCGAACAGCTAATACAACTTGTGTAGCAATGCATGTGCCGTCGATAGACTTAGCTAGCTGCCTACTGTCCGTGTCTTTCTAGCAACTAGCGATGTGCTGAGCCGTCTCCTGAAACCTCACCCACCTCCAGCCTGCACCAGTTCAGTCAGTACACTGTCAGTACGAAAAGATTGTGGATCCAACGGACGCACTGTCACCATATTACTCGTATATAGGGACTATAAGCCTTTTGTGGAGATACCACACGGTTATGCTGGAAGAGGGCTTTGGTGTAGGTTCCTGAGGAAACCTGGAGACATAATTGGAATAGGGTTTGGGAGCATGATGCAGTACAGGTAACAATATATATATATATATATAATAATAACATGGAAAATTATAGGGTACGCTATCGCTGCTGAATATTCAGATCTTGAAACTCACTGGCTAAACACCAAAACCTGAAACCCCAAACCACCCCCGGCGCCAGCGGTGCGCCGGTGTAGTTGCCGAAGATGTTCACGTTGAACCTGGTCAAAGCCAAGATGCCGGGCCCTTGACTTTACGAAGATTTATGCCCTAGCAGGCAGCTCCCCAGTCAAGCTCCGACACGACAGAAAAACAGGTTTCTGCCGGAGGCTACAAAGCGAAGCGTCACTGCGTCACTCTAGATTTACCTCTTGGAAGTATACGTCCCTCATTGTCGACAATGCAGTCTCCTGCTCCTGTGCCATTTTTGTCACGTGCATGTAACCACGTCATCTCGATTCTCGTGAATGATGGACTGTATTAGACAGACGTTCCGGTCCAATATGGTTTCTGCAATCAGGCTTTGCACGAACGACAAGCCGTTGGAGGCATAGTCTCGCACCACTTGCACTGCTGCGTTGACAACAAACTCTTCGTCGCTCAGGCAGTGTCGAAGCAAACTTTGGAGATTCTCGCCAACAATTTCGTCAACGTGGCTTTCGGCAAAACGTGTGTGTCGCTTGCATCTGTGCGGATTGTAAAGAGAGACTCTCACAGCACGTTTAAAAGGGAGTTTAAGCGCTAAGCATTTGTAGACTTTCGGGAAGAAGAAACTCCGACAAAAGGGTGTTTGTAGGGTCGTTTCCGTTGGGGTGTGTGGGTGTGACATTCTTTACATGTACTACTGAGTCGAGATTTTGGAATGTGTCGGAGGCGTTCCCAGTCCTTTTATGCAGTGTTTTTGTTGGCCGGGGGGTGGGATTCATGGTTTCGTCAATAGTCCTTTGAGGGTTGCTTTAAGTGATGTCCAGGGGTCGGCTTTCGGGTTTTGTTTAAGGTGCAATGGCCTTTTCGATTCGAGCAAACCTGCCTCACTCAAGGCCTACACTGTGACACCCACAACATCCACACAAGGAAGATGTCGCGGGTTTACAGTTCGAGGATTCACGGCTTATGGCTTACGGCGGAGGGTTTAGGCGCTGATGGGGTTTAGGGCGTGAAGTTTATGTAGGGTCAGGGTAAACAGGTTCCGGCTTTTTTCCGAACGTTGGCCTGGTCTCGGGCCTTGGTAAGGTTGGCGTAGCCTGGTCTTCTTGGTCCCCTGCTGCAATTTACAGTATTTGGGAGATTCCTGAAAATTAGGGTACCTTATTTTGGGGTCCTTATAATAAGGATCCTATTATTTAGGGTAATATATTACGGTCCCCTATTTGGGAAACCCCCATTTGCGACTTGGTAGGGTTGGCACAGGCCCCTGGTCTCCTTGGTTCTCTGGTGCCCTGATCTCTGCTTGGAGGTTCATGGGGTAGTTATAAGTGGGGTTATAAGTCCCCTAATATGGGTTGTAGTTGTAGTTACCCTACTTGTAACCCTACTTATAACTACCCATGAACCTCCAAGTAGGACGGTCGCCCATGTAGCAAGATACTGCTGACCCGCTCCACTGGCGTGGGCGTTTGGGACTTCTGTTGTACGGGTCGAAATCGTCGCCACCCGTGGGGCAGCCGGAAACCCGATCATCTCGAGGACCGCTGGCAAACTCGGGCTCGTCGGAGGTGAGGTCCTTGCTTTCGATGCCTTTTTGGGTGCCTGAAGCCATTCAAAAGCTCGGAAATCGATCGTTTGAGGTTGTATGATTGGGTTCATCTGCACTCTTGGGCTCTTGTTGGGCTTCTACAACGATCCATCCTTTATGGTCGGTCCCTTCAGCGAGACTCGCGCACTGCTCGGGGTTCAGGCGTGCAGCTCTGGCATGCCATCTCGCACGTCGCAACACCCGCGCTGGCGCAGCGAGACAAACGTCACAGCCCTTGACATCGGCCTGTTTTAGGCCAACAGAAGTTGCGACCGGATTCTGGCCATCACCAGGTTCGGCTCCAGGACGCGTTCAAGCTACTCGATGAGTTTCGGGCATCCGGTTGCATCTTCAGGAAGTCCAAGTGCACTTGCAAGAAGAATGTCATGGGAAAGCGCGCTCTTATCAGGATTCTTTTTGCCACCACCGCCGGCCCAGGTTGCTGCCGAACTCTGCAGTTCAGATGCCCGTGCAATGCCCCCACTGCACAAGTTGTATGGCTGCGCATGAAGAACAGTTTAGGGTTTTGGGTTTAGGGTTTAGGGTTTAGGGGGAAGGGTTTAGGGTTTAGGGTTTTGGGTACGGTTGATCCCCACCCAGTTTACAGGTACGTGAAGTGCTTACATCCGCACTTGCAGTGGACTTCGGTACTCTTGACTGCTACCTGGGACCCTTAGCCCTCAACCCAACGAACCAAAACGGAGGACGGGCAAGCCGAGCGACGTAATGTCAGAATCATCGGTGTGCACATCCAAGTGGGTATCTTCTCCCCCTCAGCTCAAGTTCCGCTTGTCGGTTTGAGGGCTTTGTTATCATTATTATCGTTGCTACTAGTACTATCAGTATGCTTGTTCATGATCATGATTATGGTTATGTTTATCTTTACTCCTCTGAAGTACTCTGATTTCGTTTATCCTTGCTACTGACGGTATTAATTACTACTGTTGTTGCTATTCGTTTTTATTGGAATCAAGCGCAGCGCTCCTGTGATTCTGAACGGCAAGGTCGACGATGCGTAAGCATGGTAGACACTTGGGCTTTTGGGGTTTCGGGTTTAGGGTTCATTAGGGTTTAGGGCTTAGACAAGGGTTTGGGGGTATACTAGATAACAAGGAACCCCAAACAGTGCTGGTAATTCTTCAGGCCCCTCTATTGCCTAAAGCCTCCATTGTAGATGACTTTTTTGGTTTAACCAGTTATCTATTTAGGATCCTAAAAGGTACACCTAAAACGGGGACTATAGGCAATTGCAGGGTCTTCAGATGCATGATTCACCCGCTCTGTGGGCAAAACGTCAGGTTTCGGACAGCGGCAAGCCTTAAGAATATGGAGGGGTTTAGGGTTTAAGGTTTAGGGTGGAGGGTATAGGATGTGGGGTCCGGGTTTGGAGTTTAGGGTGCTTTTAGGGTTTAGGGTTGCCTTAACAGCACAGTAGGGTTTTTAGTAGTGGTCCACCCTATGTTGCGCAAGTATCCGTTTTGCACGTAGCTTA